AACTATGGATGAATCCAAGAGTTGCGCGAATGCATATATCGAAAATTAGTGAAGTACTTAAACTATTATTTTTTTATTTATTAATGAGATATTTTTTGGACCTTTTTTTTTCAAAATATTTTATCATTACATGTATCTGAACTCTAGAAGTATTTTTTATGAATGCCTTACATTCCTCGAAAAAACTCATGAAGTACATTTAAAGAAAAAAAAATCATATTAGAGATAATGTGGATAGGCATACATAACAACAATCATAACAAAGATTGTTGTATGAGATTGTGTAGATATGAATGCTATAGTAGAATGATAGAGGCATACATAGAAAAACTAAAATTAGTCAAATGCAATAGTTGTTATGAAACATTTTCTAACAAATTGTACGTATTTTTATTTTAAATTGTATATATTATATTTAAGTGTAAGAATAAATGTCAATAAATTGATATTACCATGGATAAGCGACTAATGAATAAAAATCGGTTTTTGAGTTACTTAGTATGGATGTATTTATTTCAGTCAAAATAAACTTATGAAAAATACAATGAAACAACTAACAACGAAATAATTTAACTACAATATACCATTACCAAAGATAAAAAAAAAAAATTATAGGTTGGCAAAAACTGCTAAACAACCGGTTCAAACAATCAAATATTTTCATATATCACTATTTCAACCAACAAATTAATTACAATTTGACTTGATTTTCCACTTAATAAGTTTGCGACCAATTCACTATTTGCTTAAACATTTCCATGCAGACTACATCCTTTGCCAGATTGGTGTAGTCTGGCTAATCTACACTTGGTTCTCTTTACAATTACAAAATCACTTTAGGACACCAAATTATAGAAGTGCCTCATGATGACCATATATATAGGGATGTGATATGTCTAACACTGAAAAGGCATCAAAACTAATTCAGATCCGGCATTCTAGAAATTAAACGCTTCCAATTTATTAAAACAAATTCAAGTTTCTACATACATGTGCATCTTTTTACGTTGTTGGGTTATTATTCACAATACGTAGAAACAACAATAAACGGAGCCAAATTAAATTCATAAACTTGTTTTCGTGGCCTTCATCAACATATAGTATCTATTCTCCATGATTTCTTTCTTAAAGACATGACTAGATCATATATTATTCACGATATTTAGAAACAAAAATTAGATTACGCACACATAAAAATCAAAATGGCCTTAAGACTTGCGATACATTGATATTTGAAGAAGACGATCAATATAAATTTTGAATAATGGAAGAAAAGATTGTTGATTGGTGTTGCTAG